CGCAGTGCTGAGTCTTCACCTCTTCTCTCTGCCCATGTACCTCGCAATGTCGTCGATCTCGGCCGCAAGCGGATCGTGCTGGACAAGAGCATCCCAGTTCTCAGTGTCCCGCACTACGTGCTGGTCCAGGAGGCTCATAAGCCAAGTCTCGAGTGAGCCTGGTCCGCGAGTATTGGTATGTCGGGCACAGAACGCTGCGTTTATCGCGGAGAGGTTGGCAGTAGTCAATGAAGATCGCGACTGGTGGACGTCATGAGTAGCACGTAGTCCGTGTACGTTGTCCAAGTTTGCCTCTGTGGCGATTGAGCTGCCGCAGTCCACTAAGACTATGTTTGCCTCTCTGAGCTGCCGCAGTTCACGAAGAGGCTGTTGCTACGTTAGCAGTGAGATCGATCAGTCTGGGGGCGCAGAGAGGTACACACGAGCTTGCCAATGAAGCCATGGCGCTGTTGGAAATCGGCGCAAGGCTGTCGGGACCTATAATGTCTCGATTGTAGGAAAGTGCAACATCAATCAGGGCAGATCCGTACGATGTCTTGTGTTATCGTCTGTTGAACAGCGGCACAACATAGCCGTGGCCAGAGCGTAGGATGACCAGTATTATACCCATCCCGTAGTTGGCTCGGACGCTCTTCTCTCATATACTAAGCTCGTGTGGCGAGGGCGGAATAAGATGGCACGGTCAGGAGCCCAGCAGCTTCTACTATATAGAAGGCCTCTCCGCTGACCTTCCGTGTTCAACGAGCAAGTGATGAACGGTCCTCGCTGGGAGACGCGTGAAGAAGCGCACTTGAAGGCTGGGAAAGGAGCCACAACGCGAAGGGGGAACGGCGTAGGGAGAGCGGCCAACCATTCGCTGGTGAGAGGCTTGTCAATACGACACCATCATCCTGTTGCGACAGGCGTTCCGGAATCCTTGGTAACATTAATAATAGTAGGACCCGAAAAGCGATCCTTGGGACGCAAGGAGTTGTTACTACGAACAGTCTCCATCACAGGAAGCCTTTCCTCCTCCTCCAAGCTCGCAAGTTAGTGCCAAGGACCACGTTCTAGCACGCTAAGATGCAGGGTTCTTAGTAGAAGCATACCAATGCGGAGTTCTCGAATCCTGCACATGATGGCGGTGCACCCACGAAGCGGCCGCACAATGATGAAGACAGTCGTCCAGACAAGCGCCGCCGCGCCACTTCGCCACGAGTGTCCGCCACTCAGATCGATCCACGCGAGGTTTATACAACGTCTCGCAGGGCTAAGCGGGCGATCGCTTGAGGTCCTGAATCATGTAATCATCCGCATGTCTGGCAGCTCCACAGGCCCAAGCTACATCTCCTCGACGGGGTCAAACACCGGACGATCAAGATACCGCTGGTCTCAATCTAGCGAATTCCAACAGAGTCGATATGACACTGCTCAACATTGAAACCAGCAACGTACACCTCTCAGAACTCTGACAATCTCTCTACTTACCAGAGATCTGACGCTATCCCTACGTCTGTGGAAACAGAACCACCCTTGAGCCGCCTCTCATACGTCCCTCCCACCGTCCTATCTCGGCACAAAACTTGGCTCTCCTACGCTGCTACAAAGAGTCTGCTCGCGCACCACCGGCGAGCCACACTTAGAGAATCAACATGCACCTCGTACCGCTCCGAGATAAGAACAATGTGCGGCCTTCCTACTCAGCATCTTCTATGATGAGGTTGATGGGTCCCCCTCAGTTTCGCCGTGAGCCTCCTAGACCCGACGACCAAATGTCGAGATGGAGCGATCGAGCTCACGAAGACGACCACGAAGACGGTCACTCGTCTGCAATTCGGACCGGAATCGCTCAGTATTAGACTGCTGGAAGGTCTGCGCCTGAGCCCGGAGACTGGACGAGCGCGGCGGGACAGCTATGCGTGGCCGTCCTGCTCCCAGCCCAGTCGGGCCACTTGGCATATCCAGCGCTTCGTCGCGTGGCGCGTGTGGCCGTTGCAGGTTGACGGGGTCGAGTCGACGAACAGAGCCCGGGTTATGACCATGACCGACGCCGTCGTAGAGGTTGCGAGGATTGCCATACTCGTAGGCTGGATGTGGTGTTTCATTTCCCCGACCGGCGTACTCTTCGCGCGGAAATTGAGGGCGAAGGCTGCCACGAGAAGGCCGCGTCAATCCACCCGGCTGCGTAGGAGCAATTGCGCGGTCAAGCGGCTGCCCTGTTGAGGACGGCGGTGCAGCACTGTCAGCGGAGATGGGTTCCCGCCTGGCAGCCCACGGCAGCCGACTGGACCGTTGGCGCTCCGGGTCTTGCGCACTGCCAAAGAGATTCTCCGTATTTTGCATCGACTGCTCAGACCGGCCTTGCAGCCGCGCTATCCGACGCTCCAGTGTGCCCAAATCTCCGCCGAAGGCATGTACCTCTCCGGCGAGCGCCTCTCGATCGGTCTGAGCCTGGTTGATCTCCCGCGTCTGGCGCTCCTGGTTAAGTCGTGGCTGCTCGCGTGTACGATTGACCTGCTCATATGACGGCAGTTGCTCTTCCATCATCCTGTTCCGCGTGTGCGGGGTGCTCGCAACCAATCGAAGGGGCTGTGGCTCGCTGCCGACACCGAAACCTCGTCTGGTACGTGCAGCAATGGACCGCGGTGTGGGAATCCTGCCATACGGCGCCGCGTGCATACCTGCTTCAGGCGTCTGCGTGAACCGTGTTGGACTCAACATTGGGTGTGGTGGGACATCGCCGATGCTTGGTGCCGAAGTTGGATGATCAGGAGGCTGGTGGTGGGGCGTGGCTGGGAAGAGGTGCTCGTTGTGCCGTCTGATCCTCGCTGGGTTAGGCAGCAGTTCCCGTTCCTGAGCCCGACGTCGGTTGTGCTCTCCTACCGCTATATCTCGACTGCGAACTCGTCCGATGAGCTGCTCGTTCCTCGCGCGGCGACGGGATATCGTAGCACCCGCCTCAACGTCCGCGTTCGCGGCTTCGTCTTGTTCTGGGACAAGGGCGTTTCTGCGACCCGCAACGCCTACGAAATGCTCTCTTCCGAGATGCGCAGTTCCGAGGTTCTGCAGCACGCGTTCGTGTTCGGGTTCGCGCCGAGCGCGCGCATCTCTTAACTCCCGCGCGTAGAGTTGAGCTGCTCCAGCGGCCGGCATATCCACATAGAAGCCAAAAGCCATGTCGAGAGGACCAACACCGTCGTATATGGCATTGGCCGCAGTCGGCTGGTTGTAACGCGGGCATTTCACGTCCTCCGGGCCCAAGCTGGCCCAGTGCAGAGAGGCGTTCGTAGCCGGCTCGCCGCAGACGAAGCAGAACTGCTGGGAGCAGAGGCACTGCTCCAAAGATTAGGGTTAGCATATCGGTCTTGCTAAGGATGTCGGAGCCGCTATGGATTTCTCCCTAGAAACCTACATAAATATGGTTGCACCCAGCCTCCAGTTGAATGCGCCGACCACAGCGCTTGTTTGGGCACAGCTGGTAATCCTTCCCACGCACAAGGCCTTCGAATGCGGCGGCATCGGCCTCTTCAGCGCGTTTGCAGGCAAGAGCTTCCTCCTCGAGCTCCTTCTGCCTCTCTCGAAACTGTGTGCGGAGGGCCGCCGGAACAACTCTGCCATAGTCGTCGGGATGGAGAACGACGTGCGCACCCCAGGTAACAGGATAGTCATCGTTGTCAACCGCCCTCTGAAACATGCCGATGATGCAGCCACGGCACACGGAAGCGCCGTCGACCAGTACGATCTCGGCATGATCTTCGTAGGAATTAGCGCACACAACGCACTCCATGGTGCCCTGGTTTGCACCCTGGTCGCGAGCGATCGAAGCAGCCATCGATTCTGTCATGCGGCAGATGGTCTAGATGCCTGGTTTTGTAGCAGAGCTTCGATATCGTCGCGTAGAGTGCCGAGTCTTGGCTCAGATCCTGCGTGCGTTCGTCTGTCGGACTTTTCGGGACGGGGGTTCCAATATATTCGGTATTGCACTCTCGTACGTCCAAATCCGGTCGATGTTTCAGAGAAGCGTGGTAAGCAGAAAGCAAGTCGGAGTCGGATGCGAAAGAACAGGCCATCTAGACAATGAAGGTGTCATGAAAGATGCGGTCTGCTTCTCGAAGGCTGCAGAAGGCCCGGTTTTCACTCGTCGGTGTTCGCTAGCGCCAGACTGTTGGTGAATCCAATTCGCATTCACCACAAGCTTCCTTCCCCGGCAACGTCTGCAAATGGCCTCGTCCACTCCAGTGACTCCACCCCCATCCCTCTGATCAAGCTCAACTTACTAAGCACAACACCATCTGTCATCATCGCCGCCTCCTCCCTCCCGCACCATCGGGTTGCGCACATCACAACATCGCCGCGTTCGGCCATCTGCTCGCTCCACTGCGAGAAACCTTTGGCGCCGGCTTAGGCGCCGGGTCGCGATTCGGGAGAGCAGTGGGAGAGAGGTGGTGGTTGGTGGCCATGCTGGTGAAGTCTCGCCTGTCAGCAAGAGCGGACGTGTAGATGCGTTCGGCGGCGTAGAAGCGGTTTAGTGCCTCTGCTGCTGTTGGGAGACTTCGTGCGGACATCCTTGGCCTGTTGTGGCACCGATGATAGCACTGCAGACGTTGGGTTTGCAGGTTTGTTCGTAGGATAGAAAGTTAGTAGGGTAGGTGCGCTCTTCCTGCAGTACACTTCGAATTGTACGCTCTTTCTGGTCCACAAATGTGATGTCCCGTCGCTACCCTACAGCAATAGCAACGGCAGCGTAGCTATGTCGTCTTGTAAGATCAGACTGCGCTATGCGACTGGTCCGTTGCTTGTCACTTGTCATCGGGGGCTGTATGGGTACCAGGGCATGGGTCAGACCAGGCAGGCGTCCATTTGACACTCGTTTGGCGGCTTACTCCGGCGGCCGAACAGGTCGCATATTGTGAGCTGCCTGGTGACAGCAAAGCATACAGCGGCTTCTGAGCGGGGCTGCTGAAGTGAGCCTGAGCGGGAGCCTGCCAAAAACATCACCAGCCCGCCAAAAAAAGTATATCTAGTCAATATGGGGATCGAACCCATGACCTTTTCCGCACGTACGCAGTGTTGCGGAGTGTAAAGGAAACGTGATAACCACTACACTAATCGACTGATAGCCTGAGAAGCCTTGAGAGTTGGACGGTGCCAAACGATGCAAGGATCTAAACGGAAGATGCCGTGTACCATATATACCATCACAACGAACAAGCCGAAGATGTGCCGTGACGTGAGGGTGCTATGTCTGCTTCCTGCGGGGAGCTGAAGCTGAGGAGGTAGAACAGACGAGATGGCGTAGTATACAGTTCCGATGGGGCTGGGTATGGTACAAGGCGCGTCACCGACCGCTCGCGCAAGACAGACAGATCCTGTCATGGCCCAGCACGGCGCATGTGTCGCAGACCTGCCTTTTGCAGACAGCACACGCCGTCTCTTGCTCAAGCATCCCGCTGTCCAACTCCATTGCATCATTATCATGCTGTAGCGGCCGCTCGCAATCTTCGCACCTCATCGCCGCGTCTTCAAACGGCACACTGCGGGCCACGGCGTCAATCTGCATGGCATTCAAATCCACCGGCGCACTCGGTATCCGCCAAAACGAATGCAACGTGCTCTTCTGCGCCTGTACTGGCAGCACATTCGGCGCCATCCATGCCGGCTGTAGACTCTGCGCGGACATCACAGGACTAGCGTTCGGATGCCGCCGCTGCGCTTCATACAGTTTCGAGATGGTGGACGCTGCGCACCGGCAGACATCAGCAAGCGTGCTCATGTGCATCACCGCGCCAATCCAGCAAGACACACCGTAGACTGCCTGCTCGTCCGGTCGATCGTCGCGATGGCGTTTGCGCGTGCGCGAGTTGAGGTGCTGCGCGCTGGATGTGTCGTCGTCGTACGTCGGCCATGACCAGGTTGGTTGTTTTTGATGGGTTGGCTCGACGGGTTTGGATTGGGGGTAGAAGAAGGGGATGGCAGCTGTGTCGGTGTTGGTGTTGGTAGTGGTGGTGCTGGTGGCAGTGCTGGCGTCGGAGAAGGCTGGCGAGGAGAACGAGGGGGCGGAGCGTTTGCGTTTGAGGGCCATTGTGATGGTGTTGGTGCTTTGTAGTTATGCCTCGTGAGCCTTCTGTGGAGCTGAAGTATTGATTGAAGTCTGATGATGGGAGGATAGTAAGTAGAGCAGAAGATGAGACGACAAACAGAACGGCTGGGCGACGCGTCCAGCTTTACGCGATAAGGTACGCGCCGTAGGACGGGGTTTAGTGCTTAGGGCTGCGTTAAGGTGACGATAACGAGCTCCCCCTCGGGCCTCCACCTTCTGCTCGGCTCCGACGACCAACACCAACACCTTCCCTTGGATAAGCACTGTTGCCGTATTGCCACTCCGGACATCAACGTCAACATGTCCAAGAAGGGGCTCGTCCGCGATGCAAGCCATGCCGGCTCATGGTACACGGCATCCAAAGCACAGCTCAGCTCACAACTTGATGGTTGGCTGGCCGCTGTCAAGATACCCGTGCAATGCATCGGCCCACTGTCTGAGGGCCAGACCGTGACAGAGCTACCGACACCAGGAGCGAGAGTCATAATTGCTCCGTAGGTGCTCCCATGACGTGATGCTGGCATGGAGATGGAGACGGGGTGTGATGCTGAGCTGTCACTAGGCACGCCGGCTACTCATACTCCGGACCAGCAGCGGCGTACGCCTACAAGGCCTGGGATGTGTCGAAAGCGTAAGTGGGCAATGCGAGCAACGTATCTACCTGTTCCATTTTGATCGTATCTACCCAATTGTGTGCCCTCCACATAGCTAGATCCAACAAGTACAAAAGCTCGCCCACTGCCGAAAGCGAGTCCGGGAGCACGTGCGAACACCTCTCTTTCTTGTCTGCGTGCCGTCAATGGCGAGGTCTAATGAGGTGACGATACAGCAAGAGGATCTTCCTCCTCGGACCCTCCCACCACCACTACCTCACCAAAGCCGCTCTAACCCGCTGTACGCACTACGCCACCCCCCTAGGCAACCTAGCCATCGACCGCGAGACAACGACCCTCCTCCACAAGACCGGCCACTTTGACCTCATGTCCCAATCCGTCGACGAAGACGAGCACAGCCTGGAAATGCACCTCCCCTACATCTACAAAATCCTCTCAAAGTGAGCGCTGACCTCGCCTCGCGAATGCCACCTTCGACTAACCCACCACCCAGAACCTTCGGCGACAACCCCGCAGCCTTCCCCCCTCTCATCCCAATCTTAGTCGGCAACACCTCCGTGACCACCGAAATGACACTCGGCCTCCTCCTCGCCGGCCACCTCGCCGACCCCACGACCGCCTTCGTCATCTCCTCCGACTTCGCGCACTGGGGCACGCGTTTCCGCTACACCCACTACCAACCCTCCGACGGCCAGCCGGCGCAGCAGCTCCCCGCGTCGCTGTCGACGGCGCCGAGCAAACCGGCGATACACGAGAGTATCAAGCAAGTGGATTTCGAGTGTATGGGGGCGTGCGAGAGCGGGAGTCATGTTGCGTGGTTGGAGGAGCTGGAAAGTACGTATGGTGGCATTGTATCATTCAATCGCCCAACCCAGCCTGTTTCTAACCGGCTAAGCACAAAGACCGCGTTTTGGCTGACCACAGTATGTGCTGCGCAGGCAACAGCAACACCGTCTGCGGCCGGCACCCCATCGGCGTCGTCATGGCCGCTATCGAGGAGGTGCGGACGCAGGAAGGCACACCAGACATCGGCGCCTTCAAGTTCGTGCGGTATGAGCGGAGCGGGGAGGTCAAGAGGGTGAGTGAGAGTAGTGTGAGCTATGCTAGTGCTTTTGCTGTGATGTAGCAACAGTTGCCTTGGTCTAGAGAAGACAGACATCCTTCATCCGATGTAACATGGCTACTGAAGGGACTAGAGTGAGAGAAGTGAAATGTGAAATGACTTACCTGTTGATAGCAGCAGCACGAATGGAGACACCAGCTCCTTACCTATCCCTCCGCCGTGCGGTAGCTCGTGCCGTTGCTCATAGCTAACCGGCTTAGCTTCACGTCAATTAATGACGTGGTCACAACGCCTTCGCTCCCACATCTCGGCGCAGCAAGGCGGGCTTCTCAAACAGCCCCTGCAGACGCTCCAGGACTACACTGCCGTCCACCAGCACCACGTAGCCTTCGGGCACCCCGGCATAGGAATCGCCATCATCGGCGCAAAGCGGGCCACCCATGTAGTTGACGATGGCGGCACTGCAGGCCTCGTCACTGCCCTCCATCATCGCGCCGTGCTCGTCCCTACTACCATTAGGCCCTATATTCCGACAGACAATGCACTGGCAGGTTTGCGGGAAATGGCGGTACCCCAAAATCTTCGGTGGCCGAAGAGCGGCGCTCCCCTTCACCGGGACAACATCCCGCCAGAAAGCGGTCTGGAAGAGCTGGCGGGTCCACGAGCCGGGGATGCGCCAGTATCGGCTGATGGGATCAGTGATCTTGCCACAGAACCACAGCCCTCCCTTCGCCGCGTAGCTGGCATGGAGCGTCGGACTCGGCCACTCCGTCAGCACCATCGTGCCATCAAGGACAATCGACGGCAAGCCTCCAAACACCGACTCCTCCCAATCGTACCCATCCTCCGCCATCTTGCGGTCGTTGATCGGCATTGGGGGAAAGCCGCCCCTCCGCGCAGTGGCAGCGGCGTGCGCCGTCTCATGCACCAGGCTGACCGCGAGCTCCAAATAGCGCTCCGCCAGCTTCTCTGACATGCCGGTGGCCTCGCCTTCACGGTCCGCGAGCTGCTTGACGCGCATGAGCTCGTCGTGGATGGCGTTGCCGATGGTGATCTCGCTGGGTTCGCCATAGCAGCGCTCCGGATCCAGGACGTCGGCGGGTATCGTGACCCCCTCAAGCCGTGCACAACGGCCACAGGCATGAAGCTCCGCCACGGAGTAATGCACGATCTTGGCCAGATTGCGCAGGTCTCGCTGCAGATCCGCAAACTCCTCAGGCTCTAGTTTGTCCTCCTCAAACCGCATGGAATAGTGCGCCATGTCATATTCCTTGCACAGGCAATCCGGGTCCTCGTTCTCGGTGTAAGGGCCCCATAGGACTGCCCACCAGTATGAGGAGAGGCACTCGGTGGTGAGGAAGTGGGAGGCGAGTCGCAGGGCGGGCAGGATGGCGTCGTAGTCGAAGCCCTGCATGTTTTCGCGGGCGAAGAGGGGATGCACGTCGTTCGCGAGATCACACGTGGCGCCCGCGACATAGCCCTCGCCGGCGACGAGCTTGTCAATTGGGAAAGCGTTGAAATCGGTGGCGAGTAGGTTGGAAGTCATCGTGGCCTCGTTCTATGATGGAAAAGCGACGGGTTTGTTGTGGGGAGCGCAATGTCGCAAAGTGTGGTGTAAGGCAAGGATATTTCAGGTACTCGGCCAGCAAGTACGAATTTGACGCTGTAATGATGAGGTGAATACCTGCGTCTGACGCACTGCGTAGTCGATATACTTCGCCTGGAGAATCTCTGCACAATGCAAAGAAAGCCGCATTGTCGCGCATCCGATGGGACCTTGATGCGGAACAAAGAACCGTGCTATTCTTACCGACGCAACTTCCACCGCTGCCCTTGTTCGGAAGCACGCTGGATAGCGTGCCACCTGCGCGGCCTCGGGAGCTCGATGCAGTGGGCTCTGACGCTGAATGATGGCCAACGGCAACGCATGTTCCCTCCGTCATAGAAGGTGCTAGATGCACAGAAGATGAAACTTAGGACTTACTTAGCATGCACCAGTATAGCTAGATATCGAGCTGCTGCCTGCCCAAAGCACTCAGTCTTCCTGAGTAGATCCCTACCTTAACCTGACTTGGCACGCTCCAGCTTCTTCTCCAGTCTCTTCACCAATTTGCGGAGCTCTGCCTTGACTAGCGTGCCATCATCCCACAAGTAATAGCCATCAGGCACACCTATCATGTCCCGTTCACCCTTTGCAGTGGGGACCAACATCGCATCCTCACCAGCGCAGCATCCTGGCACGTCAGGTCTCTCCGTGCACCTCTCCCTCTCCGACGCCGTCTTGCAAAAATCGCACTTGCACTCCCGCATAACGAAGCGAGAGCCCAGCAGCCTCGGC